ATCAATTATTTTCGCACTCCGGGCGCGAGCGCGGCGCCCGGTCAATAGCCGTTATAATTAACAACGCTATTTTTGTGTAGCGTCAATATTACGGCCCTATTTTAAAGTGACGTGCGTACACAGACGGAGATATTTTGTGGTTTAAAAGTATAATACGTAGGTAATCTAGCGCTTTTTTATTTGCCATTATATTATTTCTCAGGTTTCGAATACTTTTGTTTTAATTTGCATTTTTTGCATTGCATTTTTAATTTTGTTTTAATTTGCATTATAATTGCATTAGGGTGGACCAATAAACCTTTTTTTTTCTTTAGATAGGTACAACGAAAATATGGTAAAAGATGACGAAAAAAAAAATTCTGGTAAAGTATGAGCTCTTAATATTAATATTTAGAGGTGCCGCATCGTGATTTTTGATTTTTGATAACAATTTTTCTAATGAAATACGTACTCAATAAATTAATGTTCACGATTGACTTCCACGGTGAAGGAACAACACCGTGTAATAAAAATCAAACCTGCAAAATTATAATTGGCCTAATTACTGGTGGCAGGACCTCTTGTGAATCTGCACGGGTAGGTACCACCACCCTGCCTATTTCAGCCGTGAAACAGTAATGCGTTCAGTTTAAAGGGCAGCGTAGCCATTGTAACTATACCTACTTGAGACCTTAGAACTTATATCTCAAGGTGGGTGGCCCATTTACGTTGTAGATGTCTATGGGCTCCAGTAACCCTTTAAAATCAGGTGGGCTGTGAGCTCGTCCACCCATGTAATCTTTAAAAAAAAGAATACCTATCTACTCGATTGCTATTTACAAATGTCGTAATGGTAATAATAAAAGCTATCCACAAACATTCACGCTGCGATTAATAACATTTAAAACTTAAACGTTTGAGCCCAGATTCACGCCTTGTGTTGACGAGGCGCGTTTAACTACTGAACACCACATTAATAATGTATTTGTTAGCAATAAACACTAACGAGAACAATACGATAGAAATAACAAAAAATAGTTTTATGATTGCAAAAAAAACATTCCCGCCAAAAGCCGCAACATCACAGATTATAAAAAAGGCAAAGGGATCCACGATCATTGTATTCGAGAATCAAAATTACCTCGTATTATTGCTATGGATTATGGTTTTTTGTTGTTCATTTTTATCGCACAATAAAAACTAAGGTTTAATTCTGTTTTCTCAAGTGTTGCATTCCTATTGTTGTTTAAATGAGCGTGTTATAGTTATTGTCCATTATTTGGCAATTAAAAAAATATGGGTGCGGTTTTTTTTCTTACGATATTGTATTTGCTTTTTGGTCATGTTAAAAGTTTTTATATTTTAGGAATCTAATGCTTTTTTATTGAATGGCCTCAGCATTTAACGTTCACGAGAATGTTTTGGTAAAGTAAGCGAATTGAAATTCTAATATTGAATTTTTATGTTGTTTAAAACCATTCATATTTTAATACTGTTATTGATAGATGACGTGTTTTCGATTATGATATCCTAAATGATTGCAAGGTTAAAGTGACAATGCACAGGGTACATTGCTTGTAGAACTTGCCGCTGGGGCAGAAAAGTTCTCAAGTGGCGACCACATACCGGATGGTGGACGGACGACCTGTTTAAGGTCCCGAGAATTCACTGGATGCCGATAGTGCAGGACGGGTAGTTGTGACGGAATTGGGTGAGGCCTCTGTCCAGTAGTAGATGTTTGTGGGCGGACAGATAAAAAATAGATTACGATTAACTTGAGCCCACTCGTCCTGAGTCGTGATTTTGAGTTGAACCTCAATACTACGAGTCCCCATGTCATTAGCAATGTAAATGTAATAAGGAAACGTGTAGGTTATTGGTATGCTTAGTGATAGTTTTTTAATGTTCTCGATAGTGTAAAAATTAGCTTTGTGTGGAGTTGGAACAACATCCCTAGCGGTCGATGACGAATGTGATTTCAACTGGGCCTTGAATCCATAATGTTTATTGGATTATTGCTTATATCTGTGTTCGTCAATCTCAATTATTCACTGACAAAAACGTCAATTATAGCCTCAAGATCAGTGCGTCTTCGAAAAAAACCCAATTGAAATTCCAATCCCTAATCGTAAAATCAAATCGAAACCCCCGTATTAATATAATGAAATAATTAAAATCACACCGGGAAACGTTTAAAATCGCTAAGGGCGTTTTAAGTCGGAAGTTTTCCGACGCAACGCCTCTTCCCTCCTCCGAGGGATGCTTACCCTCGGATTACCTTAAACGCTTTTAATAATCTCGGGCTTGTTAAATAAATACAAGCTAAAGGTTTTTTATTAAGGTTATTTTTTTATTTATTTCAATTTAGGCTGTATGGTTGTTCGATTCGATTGTTTTTTTATGACATTGACAATTGCCCCGATTTTTTGTGACTTTTATTTTTGTTGTCAAATACATTCACGTGACTCACTTGTTTTTATAACTTTGGCCATATCTAATGGTGTAGATAGCCGCTTGGCCCATTAGATGTTTTTTTTCCCCTGCCTATACGCTGGTAGCCTAAGAGGCTATTCCAGCTACGCCCGGACGGGTGGGTGAGCTCACAGGCTCAATCTGAGAGAAACTGCTAACACTAGCCCTAGCAAGTGCTTTGCAGAATCTACCACGAGATTGAAATAGTGATCCAGTGAGAAGATCCGGCGAGTAACTCAGTGGGCTTGGTGTTAAGCGAGTACCAAATACAGGATACTAGCAATTTTATAAGAATAAAGACAATCCTAATGGTTATGGCACTAGTGGGAATGCGTGAATATTTCGTGGTAGATATGAACGGAGCCCTAACAGCCTGGCCACGGGACATTCGCCTGCACAAAAAGTACGAGAAATACTTTGGGTGGCTAGACTTCCAAATAGCTGGTCTATTTCAGCTATAATTTTTTTTATTGCTCAGATTGGTGGACGAGCTCACAGCCCACCTTGTGTTAAGTGATTACTGGAGTCCATAGACATCTCCTACGTAAATGCACCACCCAGTTTGAGATATAAGTTCTAAGGTCTCGGTATAGTTACAGCGGCTGCCCCGCCCTTCAAATCGAAACGCATTACTGCTTCATGGCTGAAATAGGCAGGGTGGTGGTACCTACCGGTGCGGACTCACAAGACGTTCTACCACCAGTAATATTTTCCATGGGAAATGCTTTGAGGAGCTGTTCGAAATGATACCGTCATCTCGTTTATACCATCGCACCGCCTGCCACCGGAGTAGAGTTCATCCGTACTAACTGGAGCCACTGCGTTCATCCACTCTGCGTTTCCAGAGATCTTTCAAGAAAGAAGGCAAGAGAGGCAAGCCTCGTACCATCCAGCTTAGTATGAGCTCCCCTACGATTCTTTCTGAGCGCTTTGACATGTTCTTCTTGATGTGTGTGTGTTAAGGAGATGTGTGTACCTGCAATAAATAGCGTTTTGACTATGCCGCTGGCATTGCCAACATCCACGGTCACCACACATCATAAAAGACTACAAATTCAATTTAAAAATTGGACTGTATACTGTATACATACCCATAAATCTTGTGACATCACAGGACAGAATTTTACTGTGTTTACTACTAGCCATAGTAAATACACTTAATATTGAAGAGACTAGCTGATTTTTATGTATTTAAAAACAAAATTGTGAACATTTATATCTACAGTGCGCAAAATAAGTCCATCAAAATTCCAACAAAAATATTAAGAGACTAGCCGTACTCGCCCGCTTCGCTGGACATTTAAAATTGACATTATTATTTATTGTCATTATTATTAGGGAGTCCAACACTCATATAAATATTAGCCTATCCATTAAGTACATGTATTTTCTACATGGATACCAAGTTTCAAGTCAATCGGATTCACGGTTCAGTAGTTATAACGGAACATCCGTAAAAACCACTTATGTATTAGTATAGATTTGACATAACCTTAAATTTTAATTGTCTAATATTACTTTTTAACTAGTATATTTGTGTTATGAATAAGCATTTGTAATTAATTAAAACCGCCTTCTGTATTATTTTATCGTGAAGATGGAATGTCAAACAACCCACTTGACCTCAAGATACTGTAATTGCTACGTGCTACATTTTTTTTTATTGCTTAGATGGGTGGACGAGCTCTCAGCCCACCCGGTGTTAAGTGGTTACTGGACGTATAGTTACAACGACTGCCCCACCCTTCAAACCGAAACGCATTACTGCTTCACGGCAGAACTGTTGGTGGTACCTACCCGTGCAGACTCACAAGACGTCCCACCACCACCACTAAACATCAATCCGTTATAACGTTTTATAATAAACAAATTACAACGGCGACGCGTTTAAATTAACAGCAGCGAGTCAAAAACAATACGTTTAAGGTATATGATTAATCGCGGAACAAAGGGCGCGCGATATATTAGGGCCGGGCTGCTTCTGACAGCGGGGGCGTAAGAAGCCGTAGGGCGCCGCCAGACATGTCGATACGGTAATTATATTCACTATTTATTTACATTCAATTATTATATTAACGCAAACACCGTAATATGTCTAATGTTCTTGCCTAACATCGCCTAGTGAATGCAGCGCGCTTCGTATAATAATAATTGTAAATAGACGTGCTTTAACAAAAACCGACTTTAAATAGAAAAAAAAGATATAGAAACTGAAGATATTTTTTTTTCAGATTTTTAGATTTTCAAACAAATTAATATACACTAAAAACAATAATCATCGAAATCGGTTGGCGTGATATTGAATTATTGATCTTATATCTCAAGGTGAGTGGCGAATTTACATTGTAGATGTCTATGGGCTCCAGTAACCACTTAACACCAGGTGGGCCGTGAGCTCGTGCACCCATCTAAGAAATAATAAAAAACCTGATGGTTAGTGGCCACATATGCTCATAGACGTCAGCAATACCAGAGGCAGAGTCAAAACATCGCCTAGCGTTAAACAATTAAAAGATTAAATCTCTAAAATGATATATACGGTTTGATAGATTACCGCCAGCCGATGATGGGGAACCCCTGGCCGATCGCGAAGCCCATCGCCAGCCGACCGGTTCCAGTACAACACCAGCATCTGCAGCACCTCCTAGCGCACTGCCACCATCCCTACTTGGCCGGTGAGTATATGAGTAACAGTCACGTATAATAACTTCAGACCTTAAAAAATCAACTCCTTCCTTAATGTCCAAGGAAACCATAGGTAAGTCGTTTTAAATTTTGCGGTAACGATTTCATGAATTTAAACTTTCTCTAAATTTCCATTTTTTTTGTATTTAGGCGTGTTCAGAATAAAAATGCTTCATCACAATCAAGTCAATCGCTCATTTATTGATAATCTATACTTCTATACTAATATATAAATCTACAGTGGTTTTTACGGATGTTCCGTTATAACTATTGAACCATGTATCCGATTGACTTAAAACTTGGTATCGAATGAGAAAATACATCTACTTAATGGATAGGCTAATATTTATATGAGTGTTGGAATCCCTAATAATAATGACAATAAATAATAATGTTAATTTTAAATGCCCAGCGAAGCGGGCGAGTACGGATAGTATTATATAATATTCATTTATATTTTTCATTTTACGCATTTGATAACGCCAGCGCGGATGACAATTTAAATAGGAACTTTTTTTGAAAGCTTAGAAATCGTACTTCTTTTGTTTTTAATAATGTTCTAATATCCAGTTAGTTTTCCTTTATTATTTTATTATATACTGATTAAATAAAATTGCCGAATTTTAACACGTATTACTGGAAAAATAGCAAACAAATCAGAATGTGAATTTTAAACCAGTAGGTAATACGAATGAGATTTGGGCTAGTTTTTAATGTATAACTCCTAATTTAGCAGTGTTTACGAATATATAGTTAGTTATAGGACCACGTGCCTGTTGTCATGACAACAAATTTACTGTACTTACAATTACGGTAACATTAAGGTTATGAGAATTAAATCAAATAACTCGCTTTTGGCCCCAAATTTGAAAACGACCCAGGTACCTACTCGTAATTCGAATCTTCCGAAACAGTTTAACGAGAATAAAAACTAAACCTTAAAAGTGGTTTTAATTGTGTCTACATTTCGCGAAAGCCTAAGCACCATACAGGTAATTCTCCTGTAACGCGGTGGATACGCTCCTACAAAGTCTCGTGTTGTGCGAACGCTTGTTATATGAGACTAGAAGCCAGTACAAAAAGAAGAGTCATTTTTATGAATGAAACATCTCAATTATGCCCGTATGTATTTTTTAACTATTATACATAAATAAATAAGCAGTAAATTTTCGATTATCCTCATATTTAAATTGTGTGTTCATAGTGCGTAAAGTAATTTTTTTAATAATTTTCAAACAAAAATCTCGTTAGCGTCTTGTAGAAGTATTTTATTATAAGTAAAAGGTTTCGGGGGATTTTACTTTTCGTGTTAGAGTGGCACCGCGTTGTAAAATACCGCGTTATAGAACCAGGCTACCTGGTTACCTGTACTAAGCTGGGTGTTTGTTACAGTGAGACCGGCACAGGCCCACACCCAAGTGTTTCCCCTGCCGGGGGGCTTCCCGTGGGCTCACAGTTCTAGAGGTACGTTCAAGGACGCGCTGGCCTACAGTAATCAGGCCATCACAGCCAACTTCCTAACAGTGTTTAAATTAGGAGAAGTAACATGGACATATATATAATATATATTTTTTATTCCTTAAATGGGTGGACGAGCTCACAGCCCACCTGGTGTTAAGTGGTTAGTGGAGCCCATAGACATCTACAGCGTAAATGCGCCACCCACCTTGAGATATAAGTTCTAAGATCTCAGTATAGTTACAACGGCTGCTCCATCCTTCAAACCGAAACGCATTACTGCTTCACGGCAGAAATACGCAGGGTCCGCGCGGACTCACCAGAAGTCCTACCACCAGTAAAAGAAGGCAAGCTTAATCCTTTGACTGCCATGTGCCATGTCACCGGTGCCCTACGTTGCGTAAGTAATTATGCCGCCTAAAGACATTACCAGTGCCAAGGATACAGACATACCCTTTTGCTGAGACCTCCTTAAACTTGGTTTAAAGAAGGACATGTCATAGCGCTTGGGGAACACCGCGGAGGGAGGGGATTAAAGGTCTCTGAGTGAGCGCATTGACTCCTGTTAGTATGACTGAAATCCGTGCTACACCAAACAATATACTGATTAGTAAGATGCAACCAATTTTTTGGGTCATAACGTATTTGGTCATTTCGCCAAGAGTTAGTCCCGGGTCTCTGGTCGATCCTTCCCAGCGGTGTGCCTTCAGATTCAGTATTAAAGTCGTAAAAGTTTGGTGGAACTGCAAGTGTAAATTCTTTCATGTTGAGCCCGTGAGCCCACCTACTCATCCGCGCGTAGCTGAAATAGCCCCTTAGGTTACCAAGGATTAAGTAGAAAAAAAAACGGAAGTGCTTTTAAAGACCTATTTGTTTATCGGATGTTTAAGTGGCCGGAGTATGACATATATAATTTGGTTTCACATGGTGAAAATATGGTGTATCTAAAAAGTCAGTTTTTCCCGACAGGCAAGCCTCGTCGCGGCATGATGAGGCGGGCAGTGTTCTCGGACCTCCAGCGCAAGGGTCTGGAGAAACGCTTTCAGGTGCAGAAGTACATCTCGAAGCCGGACAGGAAGAAGTTGGCCGAAAAACTAGGTCTCAAAGACAGCCAGGTGAGCTCGGACACAATGTAAAGTTCTACAGTACCCGGCGATAAATATTGCACATCGACCGTGGGAAAGAGACGGTTAATTTTTGCTTCGTAGAGTGTTATTTCTGTCGCACATTACCTAATTGACATTTGGTCTCCATAGATACCAAATCGTTAATGTTTCGTCGCACACAGGTAACAAACACTTTCCAACAAAAACAAAATTAGACGGCTGTCTTTTTCTAAATCCCGATGTGCAAAATTTATTGCCTGGTACTGTAGATTGTTTTATTGCTAGCTGAACAATAGAGTTATGGGGTCGTATATAGTTTTTGTATACGCTTTTATTTACCTGGGTATGTTTGTAATTGAATCTTTGAACGTCATTTCCGCGACTTCGTGATGTCAGATCAACTTGATAATTCACACACGCGTCAAAGACCGATGACCATACAATAATCTTACGATTTCGCTCTAACATCCTGAACAGTATACAGGCTAAACACTATACAGGCTAACCAGTATACAGGCTAACCAGTATACAGGCTAACCAGTATACAGGCTAACCAGTATACAGGCTAACCAGTATACAGGCTAACCAGTATACAGGCTAACCAGTATACAGGCTAACCCCATTGAGTTTCTCGCCGGATCTTCTCAGTGGGTCGCGTTTCCGATCCGGTGGTAGATTCTGCGTAGCACTGGTCTTGCTAGGGCTAGTGTTAGCAAATTCACTCAGGTTGAGCCCGTGAGCTCACCTACCCGTCCGGGCGTAGCTGGAATAGCCTCTTCGGCTACTAATAGTGAATAGGTAGGAGAAAAAACAGGATAAAAAGCTATTTAATTAGTCAATAAGTTTGCATTTAATTACATCGGAATTGTTAGTTTGGTTTGCTGTTTAAGCCTGTTTTTTTTGCTTGTGAACTACATATATAGGTATAATATATATTTGTTTATTCTACATTTCTCCTTTAGACGAATATGTCATACCTGTATATAATATTAAATGGTTACAATTTCATCGCTTCGTTGGATGGACAACTAAATATCCTGCCTTTAGAACTAGGCTGGATTTTTTTTATTGTTTGGATGGATGGACGAGCTCACGGCCCACCTGGCGTTAAGTGGTTACCAGAGCTCATACACATCTACAACGTAGATGCCGCCACCCACCTTGAGATGTGAGTTCTAAGGTCTCAGTATAGTTACAACGGCTGCCCCACCCTTCAAACCGAAACGCATTATTGCTTCACGGCAGAAATAGGCAGGGTTGTGGTACCTACCCATGAGTGCGTTTACGTGACCTCGTCCACCCACTTAAGGGAATAAACAAAAAAAAAAATACATAAACGAAGCCATGGTAAACTTCTCCTCAAAGACAGTCTTGTTGACGCTAACAATAGCCATAGAGCTGGTCTCCATGCTTGTCGAAAAGTCACATTAGAACCTTATTCCGTGGCACTAGCCTGACGAGTTTCCGAGAGACATCAACCCTTGAGCGATCAGGCATCCTTGGAAGAAGTTCATGGAGTTGTTAACACTCTCCTAGATTAACTAAGTACTAGCTGTACCCGTTCGCTTCCCAGGGCATTTAAAATTAACATTATTATTTCTCACGCCCACAAAGATTCTCATCATTAACGCCCCCGCAACTGGTGTAGGGAGTCCAACACTCATATAAATATTAGCCTATCCATTAAGTACATGTATTTTCTACATGGATACCAAGTTTCAAGTCAATCGGATGCACGGTTCAGTAGTTATAACGGAACATCCGTAAAAACCACTGTAGATTTATATATTAGTATAGACAAGCCTATCCATCCTAGTGTAGCTAGAAAACCTACCACCCACCAGGCCAGTAGTACCTCTGCTACGATTAATAGATTATTATTTTAAACCAGATAGCCAAACATAAGAACTTGACAAGTTCAATAAAAGCCTTATTACAAAAAAGAAAAACAGCGAAATAGCTACGTTATTAAGTAGAAAAGCACCAATTTTAAATACAATAAGTTCTAACAAATATTTCGTTATCAGAAAGTCAGTTTTGGGCTTCTAAGCTCAGTTGCGAGGCAGGGTTGTCGCGCATTCTTCGTAAAATTCGATTCATATTTCCCATGAAATTTAACCGGGTAACAGTTTTTGGTTATGATTTAATAAGAAATATGAGCTAGTCAATTATTACTATATTACATTGTGTATTTGTATGTATATGTACCTATGGTATTTGTGTATGTACCTAGGTGTGTGTGTGTGTGTGTATATTCGTATAGGTAGATATTTATATTTCAATTGATTGGTACATGTAATTCATTTCCAAATGATTCTCGTCCACCTGATGGTTGTCTGGATGAGCTCGCTCTTAGCGATAAGACCGCCATTTGTATTATACTTTTTTTGGTATACAATAAAAAATACTCTCTTTCTTTCTCTCTAGTCAAATATTTAGTACAAAACACAATATTTTGTTATCAAATCGTTAGACAGCCCTATGAGAAGGGGGGGTGTAACAAAAAAATAGCTACCCTCCGGATAATGGGGCGCTGTCAGATACAGGGCGAGGGTGCAAACCCCGCCCGAATCACTTTAAACAATTACTCTATACGATATTTGAAGTTTGAGAGGAATTTTTGAGGTTATTTTTTGGATTAGATTGTTTTCGATTTTTTTTAAAGGGTTCGCACAGATTACCGCGGCGTTTTAAAGACCTCGTACAGATTACGTATGAATATTTGCGTTTTCTAATGTCTGGGATGGACAGGTGCTTGTTGTGTTAACATTTTGGAATGTTTTAAATTGGTTTTCGTTAAATTTTTATTGTAATCAATTAGGTTCGTTAACACGTCATTATAACCGTGGAATTGTCCGTGTGACGGAAACTTTTAAAGCAATTTTCATCAACTTAAAGACGTTCGATTCATTTGAAGCTTTTGGCACGTGTCGAGGTCCTTGGACAGCACCATAGTTTATTACTTTGATCGAATTTGACCGCCAGTGTCATAGAGCCAGTTCGTGTAGCCAACAACGCATTACACGTTCCTTTTTTTTTTTCCTACCTATGCTGATAGCCTTGAGAGGCTATTTCAGCTTCACCCTAACGTGTGTAGGTGAGCTCACGGGGCTCAAACCGGAGTGTTGCTAACACTGACCCTACCAAGAGTAGTGCTTCGCAGAATCTACCACCGGATCGGAAACGCGACCCATTGAGAAGATCCGGCGAGAAACTCAGTGGGCTGTGTCTATGGGTTAATTCGCTCGTCGAGCCCTTCGTCTCAAGCGACGGGTTCGACGAGGACGGTGACTGGTGCTTGTGGTGCCTAAAAGCACCGTTAATGGATCGGGACAATCCGTAATGACGTGCTTTGGGCGACGTTGACTGTTTACCATTCGGTCTACAGGATCGAGTATGTAGTTTCCAGCGGCCACGACAAGAGGGTTCTCATGTCGTGGCGCCTTCTCGAAATGGCGCAATGATGCCGATTGTAGATACTTACTCACAGAGTCGAGCTCCAGGTCATCGTGGAGATCCACGTTCCTCAGGAACCATGGTGCTCCGGAACGGCTATCCTGCAGAATCGGGATTGAATAACCTGAAGGGGCTTCAAGTTGGTGCGGGATACGTTCCTAGTAATTAAAGTTTTATTCAGAAATTTTTACTTCGTGATATATTGACTACCACCGGCTTCGGTAACCACTTAACACCAGGTGGGCTGTGAGCTCGCCCATCCACATTGCGTATGTACGTATATAAAAAATTAAAAAGAAATGGCGGGTCCACTATTTTCGCGCTCTTAGCCGCACGGGCGTTTTCCAGGATAACTGTGAAACAATCTTTATTTAATGGAGTCATGGTTCTCCCTCGTCGTAACCGGTACGTACCGGATAAAACCGGAAGTAATCGGCTTTTTTCCTCCTCGCCCCATCTCTACTTTTATTTAATCAAACACTTGAACGGCCCGTGTAGAGATGTTTTTTTAAAGCGTTACCTTATTAGCCTGGTAATGGCCTCCGCTAATTTCCTTACATTAGGCGAGTCATCACGTTACAGTATTCAATTAATAGAAACAACGAAAGCAATGCTAAACAAAAAAACCATTGAAAACCCACAACAACAAATAACCTAATAAATATAACATAACAAGACTATAACGTTATAACCTGCGAAAAATAGCGCCGTTAAATTCAGATATCATAAAAATGCCCGCCAAGGCACATCACGGAGTCAACGAAGGAAAAAAAAACGTATTTTAACCAATAGGCGTCGTTCTAACAGTCGCACGAAACATATAGGCCAATGGAAAATCGTTTTAAGACGCATTCATACGAATACGACCGTCTCTTTCTTGCTCGCATTCGAACTCGAACTTAATGGTTTCCATCTCGGTCGTTCCGAGACGTTCTTATTTCAAATATTTATAGACGTTATTCTCCGTTTATGGGCGGGAAACGATACGTCGCGTGTTCTTGGCGTTCAATTTATTTTTATTTGTTTTTTTTTTTTCGTCGTTCTCTTAATGCGCAAGGATTTACGTTTTTAACGTTTCGGATTGTAGTGTCTTCTACAGTTATAGTTGTCGTGTCATAGAGACGTCATATATCGACCCGATGCTTATAGTTGTTTTGTAGATAACAAAAACAATGCCACACCCGTAATTGAATAATTTATTGGTGCACTGGCCCATCTTAAAGAGGTTACAGCGCGTGGACGCGTTGAGGCGTGAGGTCTGATAGGACACGACGCCCCAGTACCAGCTCTTGCGCGATAAAGGTGCTCCAATAAATTTCGTTGTCACATTGAGTGCCACGGCGAGCCAATGGCGCCCGTATGCCCCGATCGCACGAGAATTAATTAATTGTCTTCTTCTAACAATAGAACGTTATCTGATTCGGAGGCTTTTGATCTCCCCTCTGAAGGATCTCTCGTATAAATATTTCATACTTCCTTATTGTATACATATGTTTGAAGCCAACTCAACTGCGGCCTGCGTGCCGAAACATTTCGTCTTAGGAGTGGAAATG